GTTGGCAAGATTCCACAATTTCTTTTCAGCATCATCTTCCAGTCCATGACTCCAAGCCTCAGAACCAAATACCTTTTTTTTTTTTTTTTTTTTTTTTTTTTTAATGTTCACAAGAGTTCTTCTTGGCTTTTCTATGGTTTTCACTGCTTAGATAGCTAACAGTTAGAGAAGTATTCAGCTAAATCTAAAAACATGCATTTATGTTCACACATACAGGCATGAAGGTTTGAAAATGCTGTATTTACCCCTCTGTGTTTCCCTCCTAAAAAAAAATTAAGATTTACTTCACTGGTGGTTGTGAGGCTCAGGGACCAAATGAATTTCCATGGAAAGAAATAGGAATTTTCCACCTGACCTTGCTGGGAGCTGGACTAGAACTTTCATGAGGCAAAACATTTGCAGAGGACCAGGCCATATTTTATTATGATTTATTAAATGTTCATTTATATGAGTTTTATTGAATATGAGATTAGAGCAGTAGTTATTATATGACAGCACAGTCTTCTGTGATTTACTCATGAACTGCTCTTCTTTCTTCATCTGCAAATACCCTGCAGAGTCAGGGGGAAAACATGGCATCAAATAAACAAAAGAAATGGAAATGAGAATATACATGTTTAAATCTTGGGGCACTGGAGAGCTTTATCATGCTCATCTTCTATCTGGTGTTATTGATCTCTTTTAGTGCAGGAATCAGGCTGTGAATATGACCTACAAAAGTGGCAAAGATTTTGAACTTTATTATACTGGCTTGGGATTCAGCCTTCATTGGAACCGAAAGGGCAATTGTTTGGGGGATATGTGTGAGTCAAGGCAATTTGTCCACAAAGTGAAGAGAAAGAGAGCTGTAGCAGCCATTGGGGAAAGCTGGAAAAGGAAACCCAGCCGGACAGATCAGAAACACTGAGTTGTTCACTTGGGATAATAACAGCTCAATACTTGAGAAGCTGAGGATAATACCACAGAAATGTATGAGGGATGCTGCAATGCTCAATTCTCAGGGATGCCAATAAGAACTTCTAGCACACAACAAGGGACTATATATTATCACAATTATTTTTTCATTTTTATTCTATTCACATTCAAACATGAATAACTTGATCCAAAGGCCACTGGAGACAGCAATTCTCTTGCATTTACTTCCACACCTACTCAATTAGGTCAGAACTGGACTCCCATCTTTAAGGCTTTCAGTGGCCTGTGCCCAGGATATCTGAGAGGCTACAATCTGGGATGAAGAACACAGCTGGTAACTACAACATGACTGAACTTTTCATAGTGAGGGTTATTCTGTCTGCATAGGCAAGAGCACCTTTGCACAGAATGAGACGTCTGTGGAGCACTCTCTCACAAGAACCAAGGATAATACAGAACTTTACTACCTTGTTTAAGCATGAAGTATGTTTCTCTGACCTTGTTTCTTTTTACATAAACACATTGCACATTTGAGCATGTGTCTGCACATTTGTGTTGAAATGCATCATATAAACTTCCTTCCTAGAGACAAACTGACAACAGGCATACGGCAGACATTTGTCACTTTGCTTAGCACACTGCTGGGATTTACATGTTCACTGTAACTCTAGAACAGGACAGAAAGCAGCTCTACCACTCCAAAGAGAAACCAAAGGGATGTTTTGTCTTCCCCTTTGCTGCTGCTGCTACTTTTGTAATGAGTAGTATACAAGTAGCCACTTCAACTAGGCTGTATCCCAGTATTGTTGGTCTTTAAACTTCAAGCCAAAAAAAAATTTAACACATGCAAAATCTTAGAACAAAATGTTAGGATTGCAAATCCCTGTGTCATCCTTTTTACAGCTTTTTTTTCAGATGCTGGCTCTGTGCCATCCACAGATCAAAGCTTTGTGCACTGATTGACCATGGTTTTACTACAGACCAGTACATGCAGAATGGCAGCTTGTGCCTCTGCTGCTCTTCAGACCATGCTGACAATGATAAAATGGGAGGTAACTGCTGCTTTGTCTGGGCTAGAAAAAAACTGTAGGGTGGTTATATCTTCAGCGTTCCTCAGACCACAATTTCAATACAGAAAAACATTCAGGCCAGAGTGATGGGAGACAATGACAGTCATTTGAAATGAGGTTTGGCAACAAATTTGCTGACAAATGCTTCGAGGTAATGCTTGTGGAGAGAAGTATGCTATCAGAGATGTGACTTGTTATTTCAGTCTGAGGGAAGAAGGTTCAGACCCATCATTTATTGGAACCCATTACGGGACTTAATCTGAAGATTTTGACATGCTTCCAAGATAAATATGCTACCAAGAGTAAGGCATGCTCAGTAAGGTGTGTGTACTAGGAAATGAGGACTGTAATTGCCATACTGGAAGAGCTTTTTGTCTATGTACTTTAATAACCTTCTCCTAGCCGTGTCCCTTCTGATGCAATGTGATTCAGAGATGAATCATGCCAAGCAAATGGTAAGTGTCTTTATCATCACATAGCAGACTTGACCAAATGGTTACTGCTTATTATTGGCAGATACCCTGGGATTTGAGCCCAACAGTGTAAAACATTCAGAATTATAACTCATGTAAAGCTTGGGCCTCTTCAACATTGTGGGGATGTTTATGGTTTCCTCCTTACTCTGTAAGATCATAACAGAGGCCCAAAATTTTCAGCACAGCATTTTTCTTTATTTTTAACAATGAATTAGACTGAAATTCTTTCCACATAGCTCTGCTCTGCAGGACAGCTTATGACAGAAACAAGTCCAATACTGTTTGTCCTTAGTGGACACTTAACACAGACGTACATATTCAGCCTTTACAATCTTTCCTTGTGAAAGTTTCGCTGGCCATATAATAATTTCTGTCACTCTTTTCTGACCTCTCTCCAACTTCTGATTTTTCCACCTGATACTGAGGTAGCAAAAGGAATTTTCTATCTTGGCTGCCACTCACATCATTAGGAAAAAACCATAGAATGACAGAATTACAGAGACATGGGTCACGGGGTCACTGACTCTGCAGGATAGTGAGAAAAATGAAATAGTTATTTACAAAAATACAGGGTGTAGAAATTAGATAGCATTTTAAAGATTTTAAAATCTGAAAAATACTGAAGAACACTCTACATGTAACATTTCTCTCCTGTAGTAATTTTTTTCTCAGGCACCATGATATGATAATTGAGCTTTAAAACCCAGCAAAGTCATCTTAAAATCAAACCACCAGTCTGAGATCATTAATATCTAGCAACAGCATTGTCTTGCACCTCATTTACAATATGAGCCACCATTCCTTATTTTAACATATTTATGTACACAGGCTCACTAAGGTGTCAGTGAAGGTGCTGAGGAGTGCAGTATTTCATCCATATAATCATGCTTAATGATTATGACCTAAGACAGCAAGTGTTTTGGGCAAATCCCAGATACACTACTAGCTATACTCATATATATAGACATACTTTTCAATGTCCAAGGCTATTTGTACTGAACCTTTAGAACCCCAAGGAATACTGGAGCTTCGACCTACCAGCATATTTAATTGTTACAATAATAGTAGTTCTTGATACCTAACTTTTGTTTGTTTAGGTTAGAGTGCTTTTCTCTCAAGTAAGAAGTTACCTAAGATTTGCTTCTTTTACAGTTTTGGTGTTCTAGCTGGTGTTTTTTTCAAGATGTCCTTCTCACAGATGCATGAAATTGAGTAATTGGATGACTGGTAGTCTTACACTTTGGCCTTAAACTCGGTGTGTCCATTTACTGGTTGTGAAGAGACAGAAACTGAGTGTTACTAAGAGATTCTCTAACCTAAGGTAAGAGATTTTTTTTTTTTTTCCCCTAAGCATGGTCTACTAACCAGTGCTAAAAACAATATCCTTAAGAGAAATGGATTTCTGTACATCAACTGAACAGGAGTTTTCAAAAATTTGTAGCACCATGAGCTCTTAATCTGAAAAATTTGTAAAAGAATGTAAAGCATAGTCAGTGATATGGGGCTTAAGCTAAGCTAAGCAAAGCATTAGATCAGTGTAGTTTGGGTGGATACACTGTCATGTGGAGGTTAACACCCCAGCCCATCCCAGAGGAGACATGCAGCAGAACATGTCACTTTGGACATGCAGAAGAAAAGCAGAATTGTTTACACAGGGTCTGTGACCTACCTACCTACCTGTGACCCGTGTGCCTTTTGGTGTCCAAGGAGGTTTGAGCTCATCCCTTCCACAGCTGTTACCTAGTGCAGAGTAACCTTAAAGACTGAGAGCACCCTCCTATGAGTACCCTCAGAGAACATCTCTGATGTAGAAGTGTTCAAAATAGTATGTGGCATCAGTGTGAAAATGGTTAAGTGCTAAAGAGAATGTAGTAAGTGTTCACATTTTTTTTTTTTGAGTGAAAAGCCAGCAAAAGGTAATTTCAGTTTTTCATTCCTCCCCACGTTAAAAAACCGTACTCCTTTCGGGCCTTGAAGCATAGCCAAGTTTTCTCAGGGGCATCAGCACCACGAAGGTGAGACTTCAAAACCTTCCTCCCACCACGCAACCTACTGCAAATACAACATGCGTTTATTTCTGTCGTTGCCACGTTCACAGTGGAACGTGGAAGCGAATAACCGGCCTGAGTGTTGCTGGGTTTGAGCTTTTGCCGGGGTACTCTGGTGCCTCGGCCGAGATGGGCTCTCTCAGCGCACGGGGACGCGAGGCCCCGCCTGGGGGGGGTGACCCCCAGCAGGCCGCAGCAGCCCGAAGGCGAGAGGCCCCCGGGCTCTCGCCGGGCTTTGCCCACTGCTGGAAGGAGCAGAGCCCGGCCCCGAGACCCACGGACCGCCCCGGGCCTGAGGGAGGGCAGAAGCCCGGGCAGACCTCTTTGCTTTATTTTTTTTCACTTCTGTCGCTTGTTCAGTGAAAAAAAACTCGGCAAAGCCCGTCGCCTTTGCCGAGCTGCCTACACGCCCCTGCAGTGCCTCGGCCCGCCCCGGAAGCAGCAGCAGCCGCCGCCGCTCGCCTGCCCGCCCGGAACCTTTGGAGCCGGAACGCAGATGGGCGGTGCAGGGGCCGGGCGGGGAGACGATAGCGGCGGACCCTGGAGCGATGGCGGCCGCCGTGGCGGGCCCACGTGGACGCGGGGATGCGGTGGGCGAGGAGCCGGACAGCGGTAACGGGCGCCGCTTCCCCAGCGGGAGCGGGAAGGGGT